CATAATTTTTGTTGAATAAATTCATTTTAAAAAAATTTTTAATCATTTATAAACTATTATTAAAAAAAAATTTACATAATTTTTGTTGAATAAATTCATTTTAAAAAAATTAATTGTCATTTATATACTATTTTTAAATTTAAAATGAAATTAATATTTATAAATTAAAAAGTCAAAATAGAATAATTATGACTATGTTTAGTATGATTTTGGTTTTAGAATTTAAGTTTTTATTTTTTATATATTTAATAATTATTACTATATTTAGAAATAAAAATTTATTATAAAAAATTAAATTTATTAGATTTAATTGGAATATGGTATTAGTTCTTAAATATATAAAAAATAAAAAATAAAAATCCAAAACTAAAACCATACCAAACAAAATCTAAATTAGATGAATGTAGCATTATTATCTCTATATATTTTTTAACAATGACAAGGAGATGAAAATTTATAACTAATAAATGATATAAATCATGTCATAAAATTAGTTGATATGTATAATATTACGAATCTTAAAAAAATAAAAATAATCAATTATTAAATAATATAAAATTCACTTTTAAAAATAAGTGACATGGCACCACTGCATTACTCATATTTTAACTTTAAATTTTAATTTTATGTATTGTTATTTTATATTTTTTAATTATTAAACTATTGTATGATAGGATAAATCTTTTAAATTTTATTTTTTTCTCCAAAAATATGTCATAAAAATTTAATAAAAAATTTTAATGAAAGAAAAATTATGACAGAGCATTTATTAAATAGCTTTCACATTCTCATAATATACCACTACTTGCCTCAAAAGTTCAAATCTAACATTTTTTTAATTTTTAGTCTCTTGTTCATAATCACATGAGCACCGCCCTACGAATGAAACAACATTTTAAGGTAATGTGATTGTTATATTTTTAATTATTAATATTATTTTTTTATTTTAATTGATTATTATACCATTTAATTTATTAAAAAATCTAAAAAAATAAAATTTTGAAAAAAATATAATATAATGATATAATAGATAATTACATAAAAAAAATATTACATTAACTATTTAACATACGATAATAACCCTACCTAACTTTTTAGTGTATTGCTTCTTCTTATTTGTTTTTCTAATTTTCTTGAATGTCTTATTACAATGACTCAGCTGAATATCTTTATGACAATAATATATTTATAATATTACATAAAAATATTATAAATTTATAATTTTAGTATATTATTAAATAAATAAATACAAATATAATATTAAGATAAATGTATAAACAAAAGCAAAAATACATATCAATTTTGACTTTTAAAATAAATTAGAGTTTTAATTTTAAATTACATTATTTTATTTAATTAAAGTTTAACTCAATATTTAAAATTTTATCTTATTAAATATTGATATTTAAATTTAAAAATTGATTATATTAAAATATATAATTAACTTTTAAATTTAGACATCAATAATTAATATGATGAATTTTTAAATTTTAAATTAAAATTTTAGCTTCAAAATGTAAGTAAAGATTATACATTTTTTAGAATTGGAATTGATACATACAAAACTTTAAATAAAAATTTATTATATAATAATACATTTAAATTATAAATTTACAAATATTATGTCATATTGTAATTATATTTTTTTAACATCTTTTAACTTATATATATAAAAAAGTCATAATGCCACAAAGTTGTTGAATAGAATTAAACTCGCTTACCTTGTACTAGTATTTCTACGTACTTTGTTAGATTCTTCCTCTATTAGTATGACGAACTGCAGTCAACGATCATTTATAGTCAAAATTCTATATTGGTAAATTCAATCAAATCCAAAAAGAAGCAATAAATACAGTTTTTTTTTTCCCTTTTTTTCTAAAACTCATACTTTTAATTTGTAATTTGTCATTTGAAAATTGTCAATCTGCATTATTCTTAAAAATAAAAAATTATATTTTTTAAAATTATATTATTTTAATAAATTTTATTTAAAGAATCTAAATATTATATTTTAAATTTTGAGTTAGACTAATTTTGGCATCTTTTCTTCATAACATGTTATTAAAATAAATTTTTTCATAATTTTTAAAAGTATATTTAGTTTAGAGAAGAAGCTAAAAATTCTTTTATTTAATTAGCGAAAAAAAAAGAGGAGAGCAAAGCTGTTTACTTTTAACTTTTATTTAAAATTTTTATTTATCTAAATAAAGAAAGAATAGGAAAGGGAGATAGTGGGAAATTGAAGAATATGTTGTCTTCTTCAAATTAAACATATAGTAAGACATGGTACAGATAAACATTTATCTTATTTTATATTTTGTTTAGTTTTTATTAAAATATCAGGAAGAAAAAAGGGAAACATTTTCTTAAAATTTTTTTAAAATGTGCTCTTTATAATTTAAGGGTACAATTGTTATATTTTTTACATTAATTAATATTAACAATATAAAAATTAACATTAATTTTATCACAATTAGCATCTATATAATTTTTATTAACTAATTAATTAAATATATATCAAATTTTATTTTTTAATATTAATTATTAATGTAAAAAATGTAGTCCAATTGGATCTCTGTAATGTGAGCCGTTGATTGCCACCTGGACCGACTATACATTGTCCCCAAATTTTTATCCAACTCCATTAACACACATTTTCTTTTCCGCCTGCTACTTCTCCTAGAGAGAGAAACAAACGAAGAAAGTAAAAGAAAGAGAAACACAATCAAAGAAAAAAAAAGGGGAAACGGTTATGGAATTGTAGACCAAGTCATAAAGAACTACTAGGGTTTTTGGAAATCCGAATCTGCAACCACGTCCAGATCCTTCCATTCTTCGCCATCCTCTATAATGGCGACTCCGTTTTCAAGTCTGGAGACAGCTGGAGGCTGCGTGGCTGTAATGGCAGGCCCTTTGAACCCTATCGATCCATCTACGTCTTCCAAGTCTTGCTTAAAGAATTCCGACTGTAAATCGCCGATTCTTATATTCTTGTTCTTCCATAAGGCTATTAGAGCTGAGCTCGATGCGCTTCACAGGGCCGCCGTTGCTCGAGCCACCAACCGTGATGGTGGTGGTGATGTTAGCTCCTTGCTGCAGAGGTATCATTTTCTTCGCACGATTTATAAGCACCACTGCAATGCCGAGGATGAGGTTGGTGTTCTTGTCCTTTTCAAGATTGCTTTCTATTTCTGAAGTGATTAGGCTATTTCTTTTGTTCATCTGGAATTTGATTCTTTCAATTTTATGCAATTGTGGTTTAGTTTTGTTGGTTGTTCTGAATTATTACTAATGCTTCTACTCCGTTTCTACTTTTTTCTGAAGCAATCTGAATTCTATTTATTGAAATTAGCATGGCACTTCTTTTGCTCAGTTTGTGATGCCTTAATTTAGACTTTTAGCAATCTTCTTCTTATTTAGTTACGATTAAAAGGCCTGAGACATATGGCCAAACAAAAAATGCTTGAGGCAATTCAGTGTTAATCAAACCTCATGAGAGTGTTTCGTTAAGGATTAAGTTGCCATTTAAGAAGTGAGGGAGAAAATAGGCAAGAGTGAAGAGATGTAAAAGCTAAGTTTTAAGCGTGATAATAATTTGTAGGTGAAGTTTATCTCGTAGAATCTAATTTTTGTGAAAACGGTGATCTTAATGTAAAACATATTTGCATATATTTAGGTTAATTCACTGTCTTGAGAAGCTTTTATATATGGTAATGTGCGGCACAGCCACACAGGTTGACCTTCATATTCTATGGAGTTTTGAGGCCAGTGGAATTTGTTGTCTATGATTCTTATAATCTGAATCAATTGATGGCAGTCATGTTAAGACACACATTCTTCCTGTTTTCTTTTGTTAATAGGTCATATATGATCAATGAAGTTGTTACAGATATTGTTTCAAATATGTAGGTCATTTTTCCTGCTCTTGATATAGTTGTGAAGAATGTTGCCCACACTTACTTCCTTGAACATGAGGGAGAAAGTGTGCTCTTTGATCAATTGTTTGAGTTGCTGAATTCAAAGATGGAAGATGAAGAAAGCTGTTGGAGAGAGCTGGCTTCTCGAACGAGAGCCCTTCAAACATCAATTAGCCAGCACATGTCCAAGGAAGAAGAACAAGTATTTATTTGTTTCTTTTATAAAATAAAAAATTTGCATTCTCTAATAATAGCTGATATATTTGCAAAATATTTAATTGAAGTCTTGGAGTGCACAACTAATGAGTTCCAAAAGCATAATTTTGATTCTGCAGTCTTATTGTGCTAAATATACATATCTGACACAATTTACCCTGATTCTTATTCTCTTTATTTGCCTATTGTTTGTGTTTAGCACATTCGTCGAGTGAACAAGTTTCTACTGGTTAATTGAGGGGAGCTAAAATTCACATAGATGCTTTAGCATTCATTAAAAAGGAATGAAGTGGCAAAGTTCTGATGGATACATAATGTATTATGTGTTAACAGCATACCAAAAACCTTTCTAAGTTCAGGCTCCACTTACTGTACAAGATAAAGGATTATGAGAATATGAGGTTAAATATTGGATATTTATGCTATAAAATTTATCTTCCTTTTTTCGCAACTTGCAAGACATTAAATGTAGACTTCTCTAATTGTGATGCTGAATGGTAGATTCTAAATATGATTGAAAATCCAGGGTTGATGATTCATTTAGATTCTTTGATTATGACAATTGTCAATAATAAGCTTTCTGCTAATGCTAGTATGTAAATATTCTTTCATGTTGAGCAGGTTGCTAAGTATGAGATTGTAGTGCTGCTGAACTGGTAGGGTTGCTTAAGCTGAGCTGAAAGCATCTTTGTTCTTACATACTTGCTGCTTTGTCTACAGGTCTTCCCCTTACTTGCTGAGAAGTTCACATTTGAAGAACAGGCATCATTGGTATGGCAATTTCTTTGCAGTATTCCTGTTGACATGATGGCTGAATTTCTTCCTTGGCTTTCCTCTTCCATATCATCTGAAGAACATCAGGACATGCGGAAGTGCTTGTGCAAGATAGTTCCTAAAGAAAAACTTCTTCGGCAGGTGACAATTCCCTCATGCCATGAAAAGCAATTTTCCCCCTTTATGCTCTTGTATTAATTAGTTAGTCAAAAAAGTTCCTTTTATGAGAAATCTCACCTTTTAAGATCCATTGAATGAAGGTTATTTTTGGCTGGATGGAAGGGGTTAAAATGCCTGGTACATGTAAAAACTGCAAAGATAATTCCAAGGATAGATGCCAAACTTCTGGGAGTAGTATTTTAATTAGTCAAACTGAGGAGGGCCCCTGTGCATGTGTATCTTCCAAAGCTGGTAAAAGGAAACAAGTGGAGATAGGTTATGATCATGCAAATTCTGCTGTGTCCTGTCCTATTGATGAAATATTGCTTTGGCATAATGCTATTAGACAAGAGTTGAATGATATAGCTGAGGCTGCGAGGAAGATACAACTTGCTGGTGATTTTTCTGATTTGTCTGAGTTCAACAAGAGGCTGCAATTCATTGCTGAAGTTTGCATCTTTCACGGGTATGTTTTTATGCCTTTTAAACTTTATTGATTTCTACTTGCTGGTGTACATGACAGTGTCTAATACTGTGACCTTTTTGCTCCAAAGAAGTATATCAAATTGGCAACATCATTTATAAAGGCTGTTTCTTTACATGTGCTTCGATCCCGAATTTGTTTGTATACTTCAAAGAAAATTTTAGTTCTTTCTCCCTGTGCTATGAAATCAACTTGTCTCATCTCTCTTACTGCAGTATTGCTGAGGATAAAGTTGTATTCCCTGCTGTAGATGCAGAACTCTCTTTTGCCCAGGAGCATGCAGAAGAAGTAATTCAATTTAACAACCTCAGATGCCTTATTGAAAGTATTCAAAGCTCTGGAGCCAACTCCTCTTCTGCTCAATTCTATGAAGAGTTGTGTTTACATGCTGACCACATAATGGACAGCATACAGAAGCATTTCCACAATGAGGAATCTCAGGTAAGTATTTTGTTGTTGGAATGAGAGAAGTGTCTTTGCCTAACTAGATGTAGGAAAACAGGGGGAAGGAGGGGATTCAGTTATGTGATTAGTCTGTAACTCTGTCACCTGAACCAGGGTTTGATTGTCTCCTGACTTTCTTATGCTGTCTATTAAGTTCTGTGTGCTGCTTTTGTAGGTAATTCCACTTGCTCGAAGGCATTTTAGCCCCCAAAGACAGCGAGAACTTATGTATCAAAGCTTACTTGTGATGCCCTTAAAATTGATTGAGTGTGTCTTACCATGGCTAGTAGGAACATTAAGTGAAGAAGAAGCTAGGTTGTTCCTTCAAAATATGCAGCTGGCAGGTTTGATGCTATTTCTAGCAATTTTCTTTTCCTTTTATTCTAATTCCCCTATTAAGATAGGGTACACTCTGTGTTTATTTCTAACTTCCAGATTAATTGGGCAGCCCCATTGTCGGACTCTGCATTGGTTACCCTATTTTCTGGTTGGGCATGCAAAGGTCGTTCCACAGATGTATGCCTTTCTTCTATTGCAATTGGTTCTTGTCCTGCAAGAGCACTGAATGGGACTCAAAAAGATATTATCAAACCATCCTGTGCATGCACTTCTCTGTGTTCTGCTGAGGAAAGGCCTGCAGCAGTTCAAGAGGATGAGGCAGATAACAGTAGAAGGCCATTCAAGCGTGGAAATTTAGTATCATGCGAAGGTTCTGATGCTACATACTGTACCAGAAAACTTAATGGCGACAAATCATCTTTTAGTAATCAGTCTTGCTGTGTCCCAGGGTTAGGAGTGAATGCCAGTAATCTAGGTGTTAGTAATTCTCTGGCTGCATCAAAATCCCTGCGTTCACTAGCGTTTAATCCTGCTCCATCCTTGAACTCAAGTCTCTTTAGCTGGGAAACAGATTTAAGCTCTGCAGAGAATGGGTTTGTATCACGGCCTATTGATAATATATTTAAATTTCATAAGGCCATACGTAAAGACCTGGAATACTTGGATGTTGAATCTGGAAAACTAAATGATTGCAATGAGTCTTTTATTCGACAATTCACTGGTAGATTCCGTCTCCTGTGGGGTTTATATAAAGCTCATAGTAATGCAGAAGATGACATAGTATTTCCAGCACTGGAATCTAAGGAGACTCTTCATAATGTTAGCCACTCTTATACTCTGGATCACAAGCAGGAGGAAAGACTTTTTGAAGATATTTCATCTGCACTTTCTGAGCTTACACAACTTCATGCATGCTTGAATACTACAAATGTTTCTCATATAAGTGATACAATGAGAAAGTATAATGAGAAAGCCACAAAGCTTCAGGGTATGTGCAAGTCCATAAGAGTGACACTGGATCAACATGTGTACCGGGAAGAACTAGAACTCTGGCCTTTGTTTGATAGACATTTTTCTGTGGAGGAGCAGGACAGAATTGTTGGTCAAATAATTGGTACTACAGGTGCAGAGGTTCTTCAGTCGATGTTGCCATGGGTGACTTCTGCTCTTACTCAGGAGGAGCAGAATAAAATGATGGACACTTGGAAGCAGGCCACCAAGAACACAATGTTCACTGAGTGGCTTAATGAATGGTGGGAAGGAACACCTACTTCATCTGTGCATGCAACAACATCAGAGAGTTGTATATCACTAGGTTTATCGACACTTTCTTTGTACCATGTTATGGTTTCTTTTTATATTTTTCTTGGCTGCATGGTTGTCCAAAATAGAAATTTCTTGTTTCTTGAGTTATACGATATCAGATTTGAGGATTTCAGGTGTGAAGATCTCTTGTTAATCTATTTCCAATTTACTCTTATTTTAGGCACCGATGACATCCATGATAGCATTGATCACAGTGATAAGACTTTTAAGCCTGGCTGGAAAGACATCTTTCGGATGAATCAGAATGAGCTTGAAGGAGAGATAAGAAAAGTTTCTCGTGATTCAACTCTTGATCCAAGAAGAAAAGCTTATCTTCTTCAAAATCTCATGACGAGGTATGTCCTTGCCATGACTATCTTTTGAACATGTATTGATGTTGAGATCCTGCACTTTATTCTCATCAGTTCATGGGTTATTTTAGTCGATGGATAGCTGCTCAGCAGAAGTCTCCTCAAGCAAGAACAGATGAAGGTTCCAGTGGTGAGGATTTACTTGAATGTGTTCCATCATTCCGAGATCCAGAGAAAGAAGTCTTTGGATGTGAGCATTACAAGAGAAATTGCAAGCTCCGTGCTGCGTGCTGTGGGAAGTTATATACATGTAGGTTTTGCCATGATAAAGTCAGTGATCATTCAATGGATAGGTAACTTGGCACCATTAATTGCCTTCTGGTTTTGGGTGGACTTCTATATGGTTGATAGTATTCTTGTTTATATGCTATTTAATTTCAGGAAGGCTACTGCTGAAATGATGTGCATGCGATGCCTGAAAATCCAACCTGTTGGACGAATTTGCACAACCCCTTCATGTGGTGGGTTCTCAATGGCAAAGTACTATTGTGGTATCTGCAAATTTTTTGATGATGAAAGGTACTTTCTAGGTTGCTCTTCTTTTGCAAAACTTTTTTCATATTTATTACAGCTAGATAATTTAAAGAACATCCTGGGTTTGATGCTGTCTTAAAGATGCATCACATATCTTTATCATTTATTTTTTTATGCTAGATCATGCAGAAGAAAATTATACTAGTGATGCCAAAGTCTTTTTTATTTGCTTCCACAGTTCCACTTGACTTAAAGAAAAGGAATTTTATATGATTATGTGCCAAGGTTGTCTGTTCATATAACTCTATGTAGCTTCCTGGGACAATATGGGAACACAAGGGAAGGAATATGTGTTGCTTGATTTACTCTGGACCCTTTTTAGGAAATTTTGCACATATTGCATGGTTAGTGTAAGTTGGCTACTTCTTCTGTTTTCATGTAGGCCACATAAAAAGATGCTGGAAGCCTTGATCTATTTTCCTGGATAGGCGTTTGAATTCCTTGTGATAGTGTCTGGAATGCCACTCATTGAGGATTCTCAAATGTCTCAAAACTAATGATTTTGGATGTAAACTTGGCAACTTGATATATTTTATGCATGTTTTCATTTAATCTATTCTTTTATATTGATTTCAGGACTGTCTATCACTGCCCTTTCTGCAATTTATGCCGTCTTGGAAGTGGACTTGGGGTTGATTTCTTCCACTGTATGAAATGCAATTGTTGTCTGGCAATGAAGTTGGCAGACCACCAGTGTAGAGAAAAAGGTCTAGAAGCAAACTGTCCCATCTGCTGTGATTTTTTGTTCACATCAAATGAAAGTGTCAGAGCACTTCCATGTGGCCATTTCATGCATTCAGCCTGCTTTCAGGTCCATTCATCTCTGTTTTTGTTTCCAGTTCTTTGATTGTCTCTTAAAATTTTGTAGTGTATTGTTGACAGCTTTTTAGTGTGCTTAGCTTAATGACAAATTCTGCATATACTTTTGATCTCTCAGGCTTATACATGCAGTCACTATATCTGCCCAATCTGTTGTAAATCTTTGGGAGATATGACCGTAAGAAATTCCTTTCTTCAAAGCATTATTTCGTTCCAACTTTAATTCACTACTATCACCATCCTGTACTTCAGTTAAGGAGTCTATGTAATGTTCATGTGGAGGCTTTCTTTTTTGTTCTCCAAATAATTTGTTCAATTTCTATTCTAATAACTCTAAAATTTCATTAAACTAAAAGGTTCTTCTGATTAAATAAAAGTCTCTCATTTATATATTTATTGGTTTAGTTGATTTCCATCAATAATTAGTGCACAAACAGAGATTGTATGATGATTTATTTATTATCAGTTTGTTTAGCTCCACTTAGCATGCCATTCTATTAATCATTCAGCTCTGGTTTTGAGCTAAACAGACATCTTTACCCTAATTATTTAGGCAAAAACCTATTTTTAGCCCTTTACCTTAATAAATTTGTGGGTTTTAGTCTCTCATCTTATACTATGATACTTTTAGCCCATCACCTTATAATATAACACTTTTAGCCCCTTATATATATAAATTGAAGAAAATAATCCTCACTTAATATTAAGTTATAACGTTCTGTTAGTTGACTGTTAGCTAACTGTTAGCTCTATTAGTTACTGTTAGCATTTGTTAGCGTTCCATTGTAGAAAACATGAAATTTAAATTTAATTTTATTTTTTAATTTCGTTGACGAAATGCTAACGGAATGTTAACAGTCAATTAACAGAGTTAATAGTTAGCTAACACAGTTAACAGTCAGTTAACATAACTAATAGAATGTTATAACCTAACCTTAAGGGTTATTTTTTTCAATTTGTATAAGTGAGGGATTAAAAGTGTTATAGTATAAAGTGAGGGGCTAAAACTTATAAATTTATTAAGGTAAAAGGCTAAAAATGTTATAATATAAAGTGAGAGGTTAAAATCTATAAACTTATTAAGATAAAGGGCTTAAAGTAGGTTTTAGACAATTATTTATGAGTCACGCTTGGGAAAATGCTTCTCATACTTCTCCTTTTGTATAGGTTTATTTTGGAATGCTTGATGCACTCCTAGCATCTGAAGTGCTTCCTGAAGAATACAGGGATCGCTGTCAGGTAAACCATGCCAAAATCATTTTTGCATTGCCTTCAAGCTCTCCTCTATTGTAGGATTTTGTATACTGACATCACTTATTGTAATCTAGGATATATTGTGCAATGACTGTGATAAGAAAGGAACAGCACCCTTCCACTGGCTCTATCACAAGTGTGGGTTTTGTGGATCTTACAATACCAGGGTAATCAAGGTTGACTCGGTAACTGGCAACTGTTCTACCTCAAATCAGTAAGATTGGCCTTAATGGTTGTCAATTTTAGTTTTGTAAATACTTGCAGAGCCATCACCATCAATCATTGCTATGGTAAATCTGATTTTCCTCAAAAATTTCACGTGAAAATGGGAATATTATTAAGTATTTAGATCCGAAGTCTTTTTTTAATGTAATTATATAGTATTGGTTTAAAATTTTTACAATAGACTATTGGGCGTTTTCTTTTTGTATGGCGTAAGAACAGAGGATGAGAAGCAAAGGGGTAAAGAAAGGTGTTCAAATTCAAAGAGAAATTCTTTCTTTTTTGGACTTTTATAATATGAGGTGGCACTGCAACCAGAAGCCCATAAGAGGGGGATGGTTTCGGGGATAGATTTTTTGTGCCGCTTCTTTTCTTCTGTCCATATATCTACCCACAAATTGAGAGTGAAAAATGAACTTATAAGACTTTTATGTGCAAAGATGTAGGAATGTATTCTGATAAACAATCATCAAAGCTAATGAATCGTATTAAGAAGGCAACATTTCTTGGATGGATTTTTCAATGGTATATGACAACGCCTACGGTCGAGTTGTCCGTAGTTAACCAAAATGGATTCTATTGTTTGTCTTCAAGAACAACTCTTGAGATTTGTTCAAGATATCTTACTTTGAAAATTATCAAAGAGCAGCAGAAGAAACGAAGGCCGGAGAATTCATTAAAACACACGTCACTCGATCTTGTTGACTGATTATTCATGCCACGGGATCAAGATGACTAATGGCTTCAAAGAGAAGATAGGTAAGGGAGTTTATGATATGATGACTGCAAAGGGGAATTTCCTTTGATGGTAGTCCCATTGCTTTGCCTGTCAAAATGTCGGATAAGTCTGCTGAAATCAGTCCTTATTTCATCAAGGATTCACCTTTTTAATGTTACTAATTTGCTTCGTTCCTGCTGGGATGTTTCAAAACAGGCTCCTATCTATGCCAAATGGACCATTCAATTGGAGTTGTTAGACTGATTGAGATTGCATTAGTGATTGCCCATGGAATAGAGTACTTGCACAATGGTTGCCACTCACAAATCCTGCATCTCGACTTCACCTAAAGCCTCGAAAAGGTTTTGTTAAAACTTTTCGAAGT